CTTTGTTTCGCTTTTAATTTTCTCCTAAATTATTTGCGTTGCAGGCTGTCCAAGTAAAAATCAATTCATATTTCTCACTTCTTCTTTGTTAGTAATGTCATTTTCTGTCCCGTCTATTTCCATTCATCTGTTCGGAGAGAGCGTTCCTCAAGATACGCACAGAAGATATTGGAAATAAATTATTTTGCAGAAATTTTAAAATAGGGACTACTAGCCAGTAGAAGGGCAAGTTTTGGCATGCTTTGAAGTGCATATAGTGTTTTAACATCACACTAGTATTCCGTTCACCATTGTTGTTGGATGGATGGTACGCCACTGGCTTATACTACCTGGCTATCGGGCCAGCCGCTCAGTGACTGTTGTTGTGCGAACAGGTGCACCGCTATTTACCCGAAAGTTTCTGATGTTGGGACAGCATGCCGTGTATTTACAGCGAAAAATGTCTTGTATTCGGTGGAGTTTGCAAAATGGCATGTACAGTGCCACAGCCTCGTTGTTGCTATTGTTGAAAATAAAGATACACTAATAAAATTTCTGTGTTCGAAATTTAATTTGCTGCAAACAATTATACCGCGGAGCAGCCGGTTTCAGGTCAATTGCACTTAAAATGCTACTCTAAAATGAATCCCGGTTCTAAACGCACGGAAGACTCCGTTTTTATGCGTTTTTATGCGCTATAGCATCGCTATAGCGCTGCACAGCAAAAACGCATATTGTCGAGAGGCTGTATGTGTGTGTGTGTGTGTGGAAAGCGAGTGCGTTCTGTCACCCACTTTCATTTCAGCAACCAGAAAAGCCGGGAGGCTGAAACTTTGGATATATGTTCCCACCCCGTGTGTCATCATCTCATTTTAGATCTTTCCCCATACGCGCCTAGACCCCGCGTACGGGGCCCCCAAAAAAATATGTTGGCGAGAAACAATATTTCGCGAACCAGGTAACGTAGAACGCTGAAACGTTGTAGGGGTATTCTCTATGCACGTGCGAGATAAAAATTTTAAACTCAGCTCTCGACCACCTCAACCACAGCATCAAGCAGCTCCTCAACCCAAAAATCGTTAGCAACTCGGGCCTAAAAAGCAATCGTGTATGTAAATGAACATGGATTATTTGACAAACGACCGTTCGAGCAATACTTTCAATTTTCAAAGAATTGGAAACTTGTACTTTTTTAAAAAATTTGCACCCGTCATTTTTTCACAAAGCGAGCATTTACCGAAGTTAAGCCTTCACAAACGGGCCTTGAAAATCTTTCCTAATTCGATCCCTCAAACGCAGCAAGGTGCGCCGCGACAAGACGGCAACAATAGGAACTTTCGTGAAACTCGGAAACAGAATACCTTCTCCCCAAAAAAAACGCCACCACAGCATCACAGCATCAAATAACCCACCAAATACCGACCGCTCCAATCCTCCGCGTTTAGATTCATTTGGTTGGATACTGTAATCGATAACTTGTAATGGGACACTGTACAATTCTTTTGGATCACGGAGAAGAGGCTCTTCTCGTAGACTCGATGGAACAAGAAGTCGGTGTGAAACACTTCAAAAGCAGTGAAGTCGGTATTGAAGTCAAGCAAAATTTGAGGATTGGTCCCAGTTGAAATCCTTCCTCCTGCATACCGGAAAGGATCAAAGCAAGGCCAATATGAGCCCAAGTGTTAGGCTGTAGCGTAGGGATCATTCTTGCTATTAGCCATCAGCGAGTTTAGTGCAAAAACGCATGATCGCATCGGAGAGTCTGGTGCCTTCCAGCCTGGGTTCAGTACTGCAAGGGACGAAATACAGACTTTCCATCATTACATTCAGCACTTAGATCTCTTATAATGCTTTTAATAGTTCAGCGCGCTAATCCAATA